GACCCCAGTACTCTTTCCTGCCATGGCAGGGGGTCGGACTAGATGATCTGCTCAGGTCCCTTCCGACCCTAGAAACTATGAAACTAAGAGCTGGTTTGGCCCAGCTGCAGCCCCACACCCTACTGTGGGAGGAGAAATCTCAGGAGGCATGTTTATTGCGACCCCATCTGCTGATGTTGCCACCCTATTTGGGGTCGTGACTCACAGTTTAGGAACCGCAGGGTTAAAGCAAACAGTGCATGCATGCACATGCAAGCACATGCACGTGTACACACACACACAGAGTTATGTTTATATTTAGTTCTTTTAACCAGTCGCAACCAGAAAGGAGAACACGCTGTGCAAATGATAAGTGGATGGTAAAGTTTTTTTTAAGAAATAAATTTCCCCCACAGGGAGAACATTGAGCTGAATGAATCAGTTTGGAAGAGATTACTTTTTAAAAGAACCTTTGCTTATTCTAACTGTTACAGTGGACCAGATGCTAGACACAGAGATTGCAACACTTGGCTTCTCTAATTACCTTGATGTAAAAGGAAGTGAAACTAAACTCTTGCCAGTCAGGTAAAACCTATACTATACTGTCCCTGGGGTTACAGTTTTCCATTGTCCAAGAGATATATTACTTATACTGTACTAAATTATTGCCTTGAAAAGGACACTTTGAAAATCTACAAATCTACACACACTTTTGGCTGTGCGCTCCTTAAGCAACATACAGGTGGTTTTTTTTTCTATTCAGATGAGATTACAGTATTTATTTAAGCTGATCCGATAGCGGCTTCCTTTTTCAAATAGTTTTGTTAAACAAAATTTTAAACAAACAAAAACACCATGTGTGTGCGTATGCACAAGAATATTCAAACAGTTCCAAAGCGGTTACAAAAGGAATACAAATACTTTGGGCCACTGTACGGCTGTTTGTGTCTTCCCTGATTGTCTTTAGTATTGGTCACTGCTTGTGACAGTATCCTAGACCTGAAGGGCCACCAATCTGATTTAGTGTGGCAATTTCTACATTTAAACCAGATCCTATAAGCAGAGCCACTATCAACACATGCACACATCTACTGGAGAGAGAGGCCATTTTTTATTCTGTGTTCATACTGCACATAGCATGATGAGCTTCTGGTTCATAAGGAGAGATCTCAGTACCTCAGAAATACAGATAATAATCACACTGAAATAAAGAAGTGCTTCTGATTCTTCATAAAATGCTTTTTTGATATAATATATAATGATATCTCTGTCCAAGTTTTATTTACTTTGGGACTTTAAAAATATATATCCTCTACATAGAGAATACAGAAAATTTCAGAACCTTTTTAGACTGATTTTGGGCTAAATCCAAATTTCTGACATGCTGCCTATTTATGTCATGTATTCTGCACAGAATACCTGCACAAAACCCCAGTGATATAAACAGTATTTTTGCAGAGGGCTCAGGTACAGGCTATACAAAAAGATGTCCAGCAAAAAGCAAAGGGAAGGATCTAACCTTCTGTTTTTGGAGATGGAGACTCCAAAACTAGGACTCCATGCATAGGACTTACGTTTTACAACCTATTTTTTCTTTGAAGGGTTTCTTCTTCTAAGGATCAAGGGTACCAGTTAAGCAAGGTGTTTAAACACAAGCCTAACTTCAGATACATGAGGAGTCCCAACAATTTAAAGAGAAGGCAGAGCTGAGGCCAGCACAGTTTTCCTTGAGAACTTCCTGGCAGCAATCCAAAAGGAAGGTAGCAGTGGCATGGTCTGGAAGGAAGTTGTGTGCAAGCTTTAAGGAAAAGCATTAAAATTGCATGTATTCTCTTAAGGAAGGACAGATTAAACCTATAGCCTGTCATATAAGAAGGAAACCTATAGCACATCACATCATAACTAAAAGCTCCTTCTCTTATTCATACAGTGCTGCTGGTCTTATAGTAAGAGTCTTCCACAAAAATGTGCTTTCTGAGCTTATGCTAAGCCCCATGTCCTAGGTGGACTGTGTTCATGGAGCAGAAGGGATAAGGAACCGACTCGGTTTTCCATTTGAACAACAACTCTCTCATAAACCTATGCAAGAAAGGGCAACACACTGTGCCACACAAATTTGTATCAGAGTACTTCAGGATGAGCATGGCTCATCTCCCCCTGTGAGATTCTGTAGAGGCTTTCAGAGGATTGCCTCACAAGCATTTTGTTAAAACACCTGCTCATCCTGAAAGGAAAAGTTAAAAAGAAAAGAAAAAAAAATGGATTCTTCAGAATTATTTTTAGAGTCCCAGGAATAAATCATCTCCAGCAAGGTTTGTCCATGTTGACATCCACTCAGCTCCTCCCCATCAGCCTTAGTCTGCCTCCTCCCTCTTCTCCTCTGTTACCAAGGCAGAAGTTTCTTGTCTGCTTTCCTCCTCTAGTCTCCTCTCAACCCATCTCCTGATCTCCCTAGCGTCTGTTCTCAAGCTTTCCCATACTCCTCTCCTTAACCTCTCATCCTCCTCTGGCTCTTTCCCAAATTCCTTTGGCCTCTGTGACTCCATCTTCTTCTTTCCTCTCTAATAATGCCTTCAATATATGTCCGTCACAAGATCTTCCTCATTTTCCCCTCCACCTCTTTGGGGGAGACCAAAACAACTATTTCCACTTCCTGTCACTCTACCCAATAAACTGGGAATCAAAGACTTGGATGCTCATATTCATGCTCTAACCATATCTCACACATTCTTTCTGCTCTCACATCTGAGCTTTCCTATCCATTTATGTAGCCAGCACTCTCACAGAGGGTCTCATTCTCTCGCAGTTAAGTTACTGCAATACTCTTTTCTCTAGTCTTGACAAACACAATCATATCCTAATCATAGCCATTAAAAGACAATTTTTCCAATCCACTGCTTTGTGTGTGCCACCCTGTCAGGACTCCTGCAGTGGGGACCCTCCTGGTGAAACGGGAGGCATGTGGGTGTCAGGAGACAGCCTTGCTGCAGCTGCAAAGCTGCTGGGGCTCGGTCGATGCTGCAGCCACTTGGACAGTCCCCACCCCTACACCTCGCCCCCAGTTCTGCTAGGAGGATCCCTGCTGCAGGTGATGGTTCCCTTCCCCTGCCCAGCTGCGCAGCAGGACCAGAGATTGCAAAGTCTTAGGGCCAGAAACTGGGTCAGAGAAGCTTTTCTCATTCTGCTTCATGGCCTTGAGGGCTTTAAATGGCCCTGAGGGCTACTCAGCTAAGGCAGCACATGTGGCAGCTTAAAAGCTGGGAACCTGGGACAGAGAGCTGAGGAAGCTGTCCCTGGCTCCACTTCCTCACACCTCCAGCTTTAAATCACCCTGTGTGCAGCTCATCTGGGTTGTACATGAAGGGATTTAAAAACCTGGGGGTCCCTATTTACAGCCTGCCCCCTTCCCAGGCACGAGTGAAGACAGGCTGTCAAGTAATGGGCTCCCTTAAGTGGGTGCCTAGGAGCAGCAAGGCTAGTGCCACCTGCCTAGAAAGCCCTAGTGCCACTTGGCTGGAAATCTCTAGCCAGGGGTCTGGGACATCTGGAAGCTCCAGATCCCAGCCTGATTTTCTACTGGTAAGAATTCTTACCACAGAAATTAAAGCCAGCACAGAACTCAAATTAGAGTCAGAAAAACAGAGCTGATCTCTCTGCAGCAAAACAGCTACAACATAGGGCTCTTTGGTACAACCCTGCAAGATAGTCATATCTACCTTTCCCGCTTTATTCAGTCATGAAGTGGAAACTATTCTAACTGAGAACTGTCTGCCTTGGTCCCTAGACATGCTACATCCTTGGATAGAAAATGTTCAATTTATAAGTAGAGAAAACAAATACATTCAGTGGTCCTCAACCCTTCCCTAAGCCTGGAGCCAAAACACTTAACACACTTACTCCTCAAGCCATGGGACTGACATAATAATAGGAAGAAACAGAGTGGTCCCATCACACACCCCAAACAAGCAAAAGCAAGGAAGAGTGGGAGTTAAAGGTGTTTCTTTAGAGGTGGAGTCAGGATTTACTGAGTAACAGAAACCCATGTGCACAGCCCCTGCGATCGATTAATTAGCATAATCCCAGATCCACACCTGCTAGGTCCTGGATTTCAGCACAATGCACAATCGCTTAAGCAGGTCAATGGAAAGAGTCTAGTTTGTGCATGGCACTGGTATGACAAGAACACCAAGTCTGTCCTGTATCCCTCCCTTAGTTTGGTTTTGGAGCTAATCTACTTCCAAAGTCAGTCCAAGCCTTGATCCTCCTAATCTTCAAAGACATGAATAAATCAGGACTGAACTGCATTAAAGAATGCACATCAAAACTGACGAGCCAGCAATGTCCTGTGGGACAACACAACTCACAAAGCCTGGGGAAACATTTTTAATAGCCAAGGTAAGTGATACTCAGAAGCAAACCGACTGTGGAATGATCACTTTTCAGACAGGCTGAAAAACTATGTGCCCTCACACAGCTCTTCCACCACAATCAGAACCCTTAACCCAAGCCGGCATTGTAAGGGGCAAAAACCATCACAAAGTCATTTATCAAGGCCCTCTCTTTACTAGTATAATTTGTGGAAGAAGCTTCCCAAAATAACTTTTCTTTTTGTTTAGGCTTGCAACATAGAAAACGTTGAGAAGCTCAGCATTTTAGACTGTACGTAGAAGCTGGGCTCTGCATATTCTGATGTTCCATCAGGCCACTGGCATCAACAAGGCTGCATTTCAAGGACAGTGGCAGTTATTTACACATACTCATTGAAATATGGACAAATTGGCTTCTGTTTAAAGAAGGCATCCACCTTTTGTTTTGTTTTGCTTTTCCTTTCAAGGAAAATCTAACATAAGTGTTAACTAAGATTGTTTTTTCTTTTCATAAAATAGGAAAGTGAAACATTTGGGGGGTAAGGCATGCAGTACATGCTTCAATCAAGGCCATATCTGTTCTTTCAGAGCTCATAATCTCTGCCTCTGCTACAATAACAGCAGAAATGTTTTCTTATTAGCAGTGCAGAGCTGTGTAATGATAGATGTTTGTCTTGGCCCCAGGAGTTGGTCTGAAGGTTGTATTTACATTTCACCCTGCATAAACACTGTTCAAAAATATTACAGGACAGGGGGTTCAGAAGGTACCTCATATAAGCTATGTAACACAGAACCAAACACTGCACGTAGGGTAACTTCAAGGTTGATTTCCATTGCAATGGAGTTGCACAAAATGTAAATGAGGCAGAATCTAGCTCAAATTCTTTACTAGTGATAATGTTCCTTCCACCATATAAGACAGGGTTCAACATATTCCCAAACTTCAGTCTGGCAGCTTCTTGGGAAATCCATGCTGTGTCCCAGATGAAGTCAGTAATTATCCATTTCACACTGGATGATGTTTTGAGATAAATAACCAGTGTTTATAAAGTGCATTGAATTGTGAATGGCAGGAAGTCCAAAACAGTGCTACCTGAAACTTCTGTTGACACATCAATGTGTGCGCATGCAATCCTTAGATTAGGAGAGAATTAGTAAGTATGCGTGAGGAGGTGGATATAGAATTAGGAAGATTAATACTGGAATAGGATGTCCATTTCTGGTGTTCACAATTAAAAAAAATACGAGGCTGACAAATTACAGAAGATTTATGGGGGAAAGGGGCTATGTAAATGATGTGACATCTGGAAAACCTGCCTCACTATGAGGGATTTCAGAAACTCTATGTAGTTTATCAAAAATGGTGAACTTAAATGAGGGCAATTAAATGTGTTTTACAAATACCTACATGCAGCAGAGATTTCTGATAGCGATGACTCTTTAATGAAAGGATCTGAAGCAAGACAAATGCATAGGAGAAGTTAAGGTTTTAACAATGTGAGTTATAAACCATTAGAACAATTTATGTACCAATAGAAGGGAGGTATTTGCTATTTCTTGACATGCCTATCAGAGATTAAGTATATTTTGAAATATGCTGTTACTCAAGAAAAAGTTACTGCGTGATGCTCTTTACCTTATTTAATTGTTTATCCAGTTACAAATGAAAAACTCATTTTAGATGATCACAATGGCTTCAATTTGCCTTGATAACTGTAAGAATATAGGAATCTGAAAGCCAAAGTGCAGACTGGGGCCACAACCAGATTGGTTCTGTAGACATGTAAAAAGGACTGAAATGGAATTTAGTGGAATGATCCAAATTGGTCTTGATCAGCAAGATATAAAATACAGTATTGGAGTATGCACGGAGGAAGCGGAAGACCTTGTTTTGGCTCTTCTTAGCCTGAGGGGATTCAAACCCACATCTTCCTCTTTGAAGAGTGTTCTGACCAGAAGGCTAGGGAACAGTGCAAGACAACTCTTGAAGATGGGCCAGCAGGCAACCAAGGACAAAAGACTCATAAGGCAGAGCAAGCAAGAGGAAATATGACCTTAAAGCTTAGGGACAGAAGTAGGAGGATATCTGGCTTATATGCAGTAACTGTCTAATACAACATGCATCTGGCATCTCCCTGAGGTAGCCAAGAGTAAAATGCTAAACAGGATGGTGAAGAATGAAGAAAGACTTAGATGCATAAATGGAGGCTTTTGTGCAGTGGGCTAAGGGGCAAGGGCAGGGGCAGGAATTAGCCAATTTAGGCATACTCTGAGGACTCTTCCAGGACTGGACTCCTGTTGGGGGTAGAGGGGCTGGGGGGAGGAAGGGGAAGGGGGAATGCTTAGCCAGTCAGTCCCTACCCTACACCACTGCATGGAATTGTTCTGTCCTAAGTGCATGACTTTGCACTTCTCCTTATTGAACCACATGAGATTTATTTTGGTCCAATCCTCCAATTTGTCATGGTTTCTCTGAATCCTAGCCCTACCCTTCAACATATCTACTACTTGCCCCAGATCAGTGTCATGCGCAAACTTGCTGAGAGTGCACTCTATCCCATCTTTAGATCTTTGATGAAGATATTGAACAAAACTGGACCCAGGACCAATCTCTGGGGCACTGCATTTGATACCGTTTGCCAAGTAGACACTGAGACATTGTTTACTACTCTTTGAGCCGGATGATCCAGCCAGTTTTCTATCCACCTTACAATCCATTCTTCCAACTAGATTTCCTTAGCTTGCTTGCAAGGATGTTGTGGGAAAGCATATGAAAAGCCTTGGTAAACTCAAGGCATATCTCATCCACTGCTCCCCCAGCATCCACAGAGCCAGTCATCTCAACATAGATGGCAATCAGGTTGGTCAGGCATGACTTGCCCTTGGCGAATAAATATTTTGGAGCCCACAAGGGCTTCTCTGCCACCTTGAGAAGGCCAGGCCCACCTGCAACTTTGAACTCACAACCTTTTAAAGGTCAGTACACCACTCGGAGCCCTGATCCTCTTTGAGAAGTTCTTTGGTGCTCCTCTCTCCCAATTCACCTATTCATTAAATCCATCCTGTCTATTTTTATATCTTGTGTCCATAGGTAAAATCTTCCAGCAACTCTATATTCCATGCATTGCTTCTGCTGTGATTCATTTAATACTGTGATAGGCTGAACTGATTATCACCATGGTTAAGGAGCACAAGATGACACTTTTCAAATGATGCCATATGCCTGTACCCCAGGAGTTCAGATTTTCAAGTTAATGTAAACTGTTTGTGGGCTCAGACTGTCACATACATGTCTCCACAGCACCCAGCACAATGGGCCCAACTCTGTCACAGATGTTAGGAGCTACCAAAATGTAAACATTAAAAAAGCAAACATTTATTCTTGCAACTACTTATCCTAATTATCTGCTCATCAACAATCACTGTCTTAAAACACACTGGAGATGAATGAAAAAGAAAGACCTGCATGCAACAAGCAGCTAAAGCTATCAATGGTGTGCTGGCCATTTAAGAAAAGCACTATTTCAGCTCTTACTGTCACTGTTAGTGAGCTGTCTGACTGAATGGATCAGCTATTAGTGTAATGTAATTTCATTTTGTGCATTTTTACATTTCAGATATACTTCTCTTTCATAGCTGCCTGCTGCTGTGCTGGATAATGGAGTGTCTCCATGGTAAAAGTCAACTGCCATCAGTAAAGAGACAGTTGTCTTTAAAAAGGAACAGTGAAGCTCATATGTTTTGACTGTAAGCAGCAGTAAATTCAAATTCAAGAAACCAAATCTGTCAGAAATAAGTAACAACAGGAATTATCTACATTGATCAGAATAAAAACATCCATAATTACAACTCTCAGCAAAGGCACCTTGTACTTTAGGTCTTGCCTCAGGATTGTACCTTTACAGATTACTTGAGTATGTAATCACTGTTCCCTTACTCACAGATGCACAGGATTCCTTGGTCATGAAGTCCAATCTTTTGCTATTACAGGCAACCATGACATATTATTACTTACATAAAATTCATTGAGTTCCGTATTAAACCAATTACTTTTGGCTCTGTTATTCAAATTCATAATAAAAGAAACCTATTTTTTGGGAATTGCATATTGTCAAGAATATTAATTGTATTTTGCAATTGCAGATTGACAATGACAAGACACTCGGGGAATTCATGTTATATGCCTCTGCATCTTATTTACAATACATACATTTTTGCATGTCTGTTTGCATGTCTCACACCAACCTATTAAAGGTACAGGAACATTTAGGTATACATTTGCAGCATGTGTGTATTTTCCATCACACTATCCTGTGACTCAGTACAGATAAGACCACAGAAACTTCCTGGTTACCTGGAGTTTCCTCTGACCAGAGGTTTTGCAGCTTCGTGCTGCTTCAACATTTTCTCCCTGTTCTATCCCAGGAAGAATTTGGTGAATTACAGCACATGAAAACAAAAACAAACCAAAAAGGAACTGATGCATCCCAGTTTTCTGGTGTGGATGCACTGTGATATTGTAGAAATTATATGTTTAGCTCATAACTAAAGGAGCATCTTCAAGCTACCTCTGTTGTCTGATCTTTGACATGGCAAGCAAGTCACAATGTGCCATTTCAGCGGCCAGAAACTTGCCCATCTGTTACAGGAGGAATCCAACAATTAGAAGAGCATTTAATAAAAATGAATTCTCAATAGTAATGTGACTAACTAAGGAGAGAAAATGTTCTTGGCAGTTGTATTTCTCATCAAAATTTGGAAAATGAGCCCTACTCTTCCTTAAATGTGTCCTGAGGGATTAATAAAGCGAGAGCATTGCTTTAAATCTTGTGCAATCCACAACTTCAGCCAGACATGTCTCCACTGATTTAGGCTTGTTTGCTCTTTTTCTAAAAATTAAGTATTAAATCAGGCCCATGAATTCAAGGAGGCCTGTTTTCAGGGGTCAGGAGGAGAGTCACTGAAAACTGCATTCATCTGGTTTCCCAACCAAAGGAACAGAATAGGAACATGAGAGAGAGAGAGAGAGAGAGAGAGAGAGAGAGAGAGAGAGAGAGAGAGAGAGAGAGAGGGAGATTAAGATCCAGATGCTGCCAAGAGTCAACTGAACATAACCAAATGCTTTCAATGATCAGAAACAAAGATCTCTCTCTTGCAAGTCCCGTACACAGTAATTATAACAGAACTCTTTACTTTAGACGTCTCCTGAGGATATACTAAATCAGATAATCACAGATACATTCCTTAATGCACACTATAAACGTAACCATGTCATCACTGATCGAATCCAAGTTTTCTTCAGTTCTAACAGTTCATTTATCAAGGTGCATGTGAATTCAATAGCCTTGTTGCAATTGAGAGAGTACTGAGTCATCAGGTCTCAAGACTACACACAAAAGGTAAAAACAAAGTATTAATACAAAGAGGTGTACATATATATATTTTCCTTAACATCAGATCCCTGGGGAAGTTTTAACAATAAAAGAAGCAATTGATTCTGACAGCAAATAAATATGTTGCAAGGAGCATTTCTGAGCAACATAATTAGTCTCGCCCCTAGAAAGCATATGAACTTTTATAATAGCAATTTATGATTTGTTGCTCTTCCATTTAATAGTAGTTCTAATGCATACATCATTTAAACAATATATGTGAATCCAAGCTTTCTTCCATCTTCATTTTTAATTATAGGGTTATTCATTTAATGAAGTTTTGATTTAGCTTGCCAGTATTTAGGAACTGAGTGTTTAAGATGAAAGGTTTCAATTTGGTATTATTGTGCTGTCTTTCAAAAGTTTGGCCACTTGACTTCAGAAAATAATTTATTTCTGGGCATAAAAGTTAACAGGCATTATGTTTCAAAAAAGGGAAAAGGAAAAGCTCAACTAACTAAATCCAAACACGTCTCTCAAAAAAATGCCAAACTCAAAATGAAAAAACCACACCTACAAATGGGCATAAAAATATGCATCTTGGGAAAATATTACTTTAAAACAACAGATTTAAAATAAGTTTGAATTTAACCTGTTTTCCCTAACATTCTGACATATCACTGTGTCTTGCCAAAAGTAATCAGCAGGGATCCTGGTTTTCTCTGATAAAAAAGAAAAAAAAATTCTCAATTTTCAGATGAAAAAAGGAACCCAAAACCCACATTTTTCCATGGTTAAAATGAAACACCGCTACATATAGATGCATGTATATATTAGTGGTGTTTCATTTTAATCATGGAAAAATGTGGATTTTGGGTCACTTATTTTCTATCCAAAAATTGGGGACTTTTTTCTTTAATCAGAGAAAACCATGATCCCTGGTAATCAGTCAGAATACAGAGGACAACAGATAGTTGCCAGGAGAGAAGGAGTTATGAAAGTACACTGCCTTGACACAGAAAGTTGACAGTTGTGCAAGCATGGGTTGTACAGTAGTTAAACAAAGGCCTTATTCAACCAGAAGGCCCCAATCCTGCAGACTGTTTGCACTATGAATGCTTCCATTGAAATTCATGGGGAAATATGCATATATAAAGGACCTCCATTTCATATTAGCATTCTTGGTTATACTCTATGCAGTAACTTTTTAACCCCATCTAGAAGACAAAAGATTTGACCCTTTTAAAAAAAGTTTTCTTACTTTAGATGGGTAATTAACGACAGATGTAAAAATAAATAAATAAAAGAACTGCCCTTAGTTGCTCTAAGTAAGGGTCTGCTTAAATTGCAGAGAAACTAAACAGTTTTTATGGGTTGGCTGTGGCATAAATAGCAAATTCTGCAGATGTTTCTTGGATGTGCCTCAGTGGCCTTGCCCCTTCATACTGATTGGCAGAAAGGCCCCAGCAGGGGTAGAAGTGATGAAGGGGCAGCTGCCATTTTGTCTGCTGCCCTTTGTGCCACCCCGCCAGCTGGCACCTTTTCCCTCACTAAGGTGGGCTGTGAGGCTTGGCCACAGCTGCAGCAAGAACCACTGGCTCCCACTGGGGAGCCAGCATTATATTCTTTATCAAGTTTTTAAGTTGATTTAATGGACAATCCCATATTGTCCAGTTTCTGCAAAATCATGAATTGAGTAGACCTTTAGTTTAAGTGGTATGAGAAGCAGGTAAGTTTTTCCTCCTAAACCAGGCAACTTGTTTTCAAGACACCATCAGTTTTATATCTGAATCTCCACTCAGACTGAGATTAAAATACTAGGACTGGCTGTTGGTACTGTGATGAATCTGCCATGCTGAGTTTCAGCATGTATATACCTATATATGTGTATTTGTATATGCATGTATTTGCATGTCATACACGCACACACCCATGCTGTCACTCAATAAAACAGATGTATAAAAGGGACTCAAGATATGACCTAAAAAAGTGCAACGCATACACTGTTATAGTTGCTAACGCACTGTAAGAGGTAAAACCTTCCCAATAATCTAACAGTGGAGAAAGTGATGACTCATGACAGAAGGGTCCAGTCTTCTGGTGACTAATAATAAGAACTCTTATAGTGAATAAGAACAAGAACTTCTTGCTAATGAGAGCTCCAAGAACTTGAATAAAATTTTTCCATGGAAAAAGGTGGAAGAATAATAATATGGGACATTAAGAACTAGGGTAGACAGAACATTAGAAAATATACCACAGGGATAACAACAAGAGGAACATGGCCTAGAATTGATTACTTTATTTTCCTTTTAAGTTTCTATTACTCTACAAGCAGTGGTTAATTTGTAGAAAGCGAGAGAGAGTCCAGATAGATGAAGGATGAGATTTAATCACATTAATATAGAATACTGTACAGGAGAGATCTTTCTCAAAGGATCTCAAGCTAATCCCTCCTGTTAAGCAGCAATATAAGTCATTGTGCCCCTAAATAGGAATTGGAAGAAATCAGAAGCGACAGGCATTTCCCTAAAGGAGAGGAATTACATTTTTAATTTTTGTGAACAAGTAACCTGCTTTTGATGAATTAAAAGTGGTTCTCCCCTTTCCCAAGAGTACTAAGGACAGTTTAGTTTTAAGACCCTTCCCCTTTTACCAGATGCCAGCTTCAGCGGTGATTATGTATTATATCATGACTGACTGGTAACTTTCAAAAGTTGTGCCCTGCAGGCCCATCCCTCTGACAGGAGTTTATACTCCTGATGAATGGCTCCTAATCATGTTTCAGCCTGTGCAAGTGTGTGACAGTGCGGAAAGGGCCCTATCAGGTTTCTGAAAACTACATTTGTCCCTGGGCAAGTTGAGTATAAAAAAGGCACTTACGTGAATGAACACATCAGGTGTACTCAGCTGTGAC